AGTTGAAAGGTTTGGAAACGCGCACTGGAGAATACTATGAAAGGCTTCTCAAGCATGGGAAGGTGTGCGAAGGGGGTTTAAATATTGAAAGGAAAGGGGTGTGATTGGATGATTGGTTAGGGAGTGAGAATTTGAGGAATCTGATGCATGTGAGAATGTGCTGGGTTCAATCAGGGATGAGATTGTAAAGCAGAGGTTCCGGGAATGTAACGTCGTTTGGGAGGGAGAGTGTGGGGTGAGACATGTTCGGTACTGTTCAGTACTATGTATGCACATGGGGCAGGGTGAGAGTAAGGGAGAGATACAGCAGGGACCCCTGTGGGCTGGATTGTAGAGGAGAGTCTGTGGGTCCATGTGTGGAGATTTGGATTGGTACCAAACCTTCTGGACTCAGTCGGTGACAGATGATGAAATGAATGCAGTGCTCGTTGCCGTGTCAGTTTAATACTCCTAAAGAGCCAGCTTTCTTGCGGCTGTGAAATGAAGTGTTCATCACTGAACCTGGACTGTTCTCTCTTGTAGTCATCCCACATTATCAGAGCCCACACAGAAACCACCAGGCTCCATCGGTATGCGTTTGACAAAGGATTCACATATTACAGAAGGTTTTGTGTCATTGGAAGAAGGTTTGGTTTCCCAGGAAACAGGCTGGCATCTTCAAATGGGACTATTTCCACAAGGAAAAGATAGTTTAGGGTTCCTCTTCTACCATTCATCGGTATTCATCAATTGGGAATGATGTCTCTGCTGTGATATGAATCTTTGGCGCTATCCTTCCATAGCATCCTGGGTAATCTTCTTGGTTTGGTTTTCGCAGGATGAGGGCAACAGGCCCTAGGTATGGTGACAGCTGGGGCCATGTATAAAATACGGCCAAACCAATCAAGTTTTGAGCAGGTTATGTGGTTAGGCTGCACCACATATTCCATGCCAAGCTGGGATCTGAAGCTGCCGCATGGTGACCGAATTTGCTTGCATAAAATGAGCCAGTTTTAATCACACAGACATTTTAAATAATTCAGCATGTATTTTTAATTTTTGTTAGGAAAATAACGATCACTAAAGTACAGTGACAAGGGGTTTGCTGTGACCTTGCCATTTTATGCTTTTTAGAATGTCTTGCACATTGATCGCAATGGACTAAAAGTTTCGAACATTAGTCAGT